TGTGGACCCAGCCCTGTCCATTCCATTCCTTCCGAAAGTGGAGATCTTTTATTAAATTCTCCTTACTGCAAGAGCGAATTGAATGACAGATAGAGTCAGAATGTCAGAAAGGAAAATTGCAGTTCAAGCAAGAATGATGAAAGAGAGATATATAAATACCTGAAATAATACTCAATCTGCCTCAATATCTCAAAATGCAATGGAGAATAGACAGCTAGAGGAGGCAGCACTGGAAAGGGGCTGCCGGCTTGTATATCCGGGGGTAGAGGCGGGAAAAAATGAGGCGCCATCTCTGACAAATTATTGAGATATCAATAACCAAACATGTAGCAATTTAGCAGAGAGGAGATGGACAGTCAATTTGGCTTTACCAGGAGGATAGGCTAAGAGGTTACCCAATGGAAACGCCTGTGGTGGGATTACTGGATGATAAGGATGAAGAAAAGGGAAAGGGACTGGGGGTGGCGGCACCGGCCTCATGAACCTGGGACCAAATCCTCCAACTTGACGAGAAGGCCACTCTCGATTTCCTCGCTGTTGGTCGTGCCTCACCATTTGCTGGTGAAAACCAGCAGCACGTACATGTTGCCCACCGCTACGGTATCTGAAAGAAGAGCTCCGCGGCTGCTGATGCCCATTCCTCCAAGCTGGGCTAGTTTGTTGAGAGTCAAAACCGCCATTACGCCTAGTTGATCTTTGGCGGTTTGATGGCGTTATGTGGTTTGGAGTCTCGACTTCATTGGTTTCAGTTCCCTATAGGAAAAAAAGGCAGAAAATTAACTAAAATAAACCAGACAGAAAAACATGACAAAAGCTACACCCACCCGAATAAACAGACACAACTGATCAACAAAACCAGAGACAGAAAAGGGAAAATAATCCCGGACCTCATAAACTAAACTTATGTCCATCTCTTCTCTAAAGTACAGATTCAGTCGCCTACATACACACGGAAATTTGTTTCCATAATTACACATTGCTAGAATTGAGACGAAACAACACTCTACCTCCATCGTTCTCTCTCCCTCAGCACTCAGCGAATTTAACAGAAAATTCAGGAAAAAGTTTGCAACTTTGGCTATGCTTATATTAAAGCAGTTCAAGAAAGGAAAGAAAGAAAAAAAAAGAGAAGAAAAAAGAAAAACTGCACCTTTTCCGATCCATCCCAACTCCCCATCATTCTGCTCCTATGCATTCAATTATATGTTCACTTCACGCTCTATTTTAAGAAGCAGAAGATCTACAATTCCAGAGGCATATCTGAACGAACACACAGCAGAAATCCAATACACATCGCATCACGCTCCCAACACTCTCCAGTAATAATCCCAGTAGCGAAAGAAGATCGCCATCGTGTCCAGATTGATACGCAAAACTCGTCCCGCGGAACCAAACGGAGCAACGAGCAGAAAATCGAAAAGCCCAAAAAAGAGAAGGAAGAAAAAGTCACCTCCGATACGGAGAGTTCCGACAACCCATCAGCTAAGTCATCGGCGCGGGGGAATCCGGCGACGACCTCGACGAGGAAGGAGCGGAAGCCCTAGCGGGTGGCGCCGGGGGAGGGCGGGCCACGCGCCCGGCCCGAGCAGGCCGCCCCCGGCCTCTCCGCCGGCCGGCTTGCTCCGCGCGGGGGAGGGGGCGCCCCCCGCAGCATTGCCGTTGGGCTCGCCCGGGCCGTCCGATCTCTCGGCCTCCGCCGCGGGGGGCGGGGAGGGCGGGGGCGGGGGCGCGATCGCGGCCATCGGCGGCTGGAGGCGGGGACCACTCTTCTCGCGGCGGAGGGGAGGGGAGGGGAGGGGCGGAGGAGGGAAGGGAGGGGAGGGGAGGGAGGGAGGGAGGTGGCGACGACGGGGAGGAGGAGGAGGAGAGAGAAAGGCGCCGCGTCGGCTTTATACAAAAGAACTTGCAACGTTGGAAGGAATTCGTGTAGGAATAGGATTGCGACCTTCCTTCTCAAGAGTCCGATTCCGAGTCAGCTCTAATTTTTCTTTTTGTTAAAACTTAAAAAAAAAACCGAGACAATATATATATTAATGTATGTATATATATGTATCTGTGTATGTATATATATTTTTGCATATATTATCATTGAAAATATAGAGAGTTTTTCGAATAAATGCGACAGGATGTACATTAAAAGCAAATCTAGGTAAGTCGAAATTTGAATAGTTGAAATTTATCTTATGGATAGATGGACAGTTATTTAATATATATATATATATATATATATATATATATATATATATATTCTTTTGATATCGGATGGATATCCTTTCTCAAACGGATAGTGCCCATTTTGCGTAATCCACACTGTTATATAATTATAAGAAGTTAGCACTCATTATTTTTGGCTGATTTGGATCTCATTATCTTCTTGATATAAGCCACAATAAAATAAATGAACACTATTGAATAATTTTTTATGTCACTCGGGTAAATGAATTAATAGAAGTGTATTTTTTTTTATCAACAAAACTGTTTAGGCATAGGTTTTTGCTATTAGCATTAACATTTTTTATTTACCCATTTTTTAAGCAATATAAAAGATCAAAATTAATTTCTTTTTAGATTATTGAATTTTCGCAAAATAAATGCACCATAAATCTAAAATTATTATTTTCACGAAAATCATTTTCCTAATTTAACTTTAAATCTTTGGACCTTATCTTTTTGGTTACGGCTTATTATTATTATTTTTTTTCAAATCCATATATATATGGTCTGTTATAGATAAGGGTGGTGGAACACCTATGTAAATTTATTCGACCCTTCTTTTAACGAAGGAAGCAAAGGCATCCATACAAAGCCAAACCGTAACAAGTCGATTCCACGCGGAAATTAAAAACGAGCCACAACTTTAAAAAAAAAAAAAAAAAGATGACCCGAAGCGCGCGCGACCACCACGCCTCGCGACTCCGTCGTCATCGCCGTCCATGCCACAACACCCGACGGGCGGACCTCGGGTGTGTGTGTACTGTGTGTGAAACGGATAACGGGGAAATGGCCGTTGACCGAGACCGGCGGGGATGATGCGGTCGTCAACGGGACGGGCTAAAAAAGGCTGCGACTCGATTGGGCAGCGAAATTGTCGCCCAAAGTTCTTACGGTCTTTCGTTTCTACACGTTTTGTTTGCCCATCGCCCAAAAACAAACAGACAAAGAAAAGAGTTACGGGAAAAAAAAAAAGAATATAAATTTCTAGGAAAGGGTAGGAAATTCTAGATGTCAATTATTGAAGTTACGGTGCAATTTCCGGAAAATGCGAAACTAGAAAAAGTACTGATTTTTTTTTTTGGGTAAGAAAAGGGGCAAAGCTCGATGTGTTCGAATTAGTATGTGCGTTCTTTTCGAGAACGTATCGCGGAGATTTAAGGATGACTTGACTCGACTCGACTCACTGATGGTCAGCGTGGGCAGGTGGAGCAGTCGTGTGGTATGGGTCGAATCGAACTCGCTTGAAAATAAGATGAAGGGGGGAAAAAGAGAGGAAAATACAGATGCCTTTGTAATAAGGGGAATAATTCGAAATGCCCCAACAAATCTCAAGTTAATTATATAAGTGGCCTCGCATCGTCGACATGTGTTTTGGGGGATATTGTTGCATCGCCGGAGAAGGACGGCCGGCAAATGACTGGAGGAATGTTTAGGGTTGAATTGGCAAAATTAAGAAGTTTAGGATCGAATTGGCATATGTACAATAATTTCAGGACCGATTGGGTAATTTTCTCAGTATTTTTGTACACGCGGGCTTGCGAGATAATTATAAAAGCCAATTTTAGAGTCATGTCAAAGTTAATGTGATCAACTGTAGTAAGTGGATGGTACCTTCCTGGCGTTGGTGGAGAAAAATCTGAGGGTGGAAGAAAACAAGTCAGTGTTCAACACTATGGAGTTAAAATAGCTCATCAATAAGATTTGACTATCGTTATTAGCACGCTTAATTTAAGTGTTTCCCGACATGCCCGTTCGCAGAAAATCAATAATTTGGAGAACATTTCTCTAAACTAGTCCACGTGTATTCCTTACAAAAATTAAAGTAGCCGAGAATATTAAATCGTTACGACAAGATTTTCAGATCAATTTAGCTAAGCGTTATAGACAATAATTTTAAGGAAAAATACTTTTCAGATCAACAAATTTTCGCGAAGCAAAAGGCACTTGTTTGCGGGATCTCTGCTGGATAACGCTTCCTTCCGAAACAAGGACAATAATTTGGTGACGTGTCGAAGACCGATCGAATGTCTGTCTTATTCAGGCATCGATGAGCTAAGCAGTGACCTAATTGGGTTAATTGTTGGAGTGGATCATTCCAGAAAAGAAAGTAAAAAGAGAATCGAAAAGAATAAAGTTAAAGTCAATACAGACGACTTGATGCAGATGAGATGACTGTGCTGTGGTGTGGCTTTGCTCGAGTATATTCACATCGTGCTATAGTTTCTACTCTCTCTCTCTCTCTCTCTCTCTCTCTCTCTCTCTCTCGAGACAGCTCTGTTTGGTCATGGAAAAATGACACAAATGATTATTGAATTTTGACCCAATATATAATATGATCAATGAACTTTTAATTTGTTCAGTGTGATCCATGAACTTTAGCTTAATGTACAATGTCGTCCCCGAACTTTTAAATTATTCAATGTGGTTCATGGACTTTTGGTACGTATTCGATTTAGTCCTCGGACTATATGAAAATGTTCAATAATGTCCCTAAACTTAAATTAATGGAAAGACAATATTAAAAAGTTTCATATGATTTAGGGACCAAACTGAACATGTACAAAAAATTCAGGGATCACACTGAGCAAATTAAAAGTTTAGGGACCACATTGAACAAATTAAAAGTTCGGAAATCATATTACATATTGGGTTAAAGTTCAGAGATTATTTGCGTCATTATCCCTTTAGACATAACCAGATGAAAAGACTTGATCCCACCTTCCAATTTTCTTGCCATGAACTTCAAGCTAGATGTGTTATTTGCCATCAGAATGAAGTTATAGTGCTTAAGAAGATTGACTGCTAAGCTTTTATTGATCTAGTTCATCGTACATAAGAAAGTATACTCTCCTACTTTCTCTTGAACTCTTAGGCCCTTTAATCTCCTACCGTATGTTTCCAACAAACACAGGCACTGATTCAACTAAATCTTATACATATGCTTAAGCTGGCGCTTGGCCTTGATCTTAACAGAGAAATATGATTATTCAGATCATGTAGCGAATGATCCAAACCCTTAATTCACGACCCTGCAGTCCTTCCTAACCTCCCGTCCGCCTGTGATGCTGCTCATCTTGATCATGGACTTGACAAAAGCGTCAGCGAATTCCTGGTGCGAGCCCGCGAACTTCTCGACCAGACCCTTCGTCTTGGGCACCGCCAGGATGAGCGCCTGGTCCGAGGAGAACAGGCCCTTCCCCTCGAGGATCAGCTTGTAGTACGTGTTGTCGAAGGTGGTCGAGGAAGGGTCCATGGTGGTCCCCGAGTTCTTCGGCCTGTTATTGCTCGGGCACACGCCCCTCAGGCTCGCTGCGAGGGGACGGGGGTGCATCGATGGGTCGACGTCGTGCGCGGCGTTGAAGCTGCGGATCCTGCCCACGAAGGAGGAGCAGTGGGAGAATCCTAGCGTGTGGCCCCCTACAAGTGGATAGAAGTCGAGATCAGAATCATCACCAGTAAAAAACAAAAACAAATGACTAAATCTGGCGGAGTGAATTTGTCGACGAAACACTGTCATATATTGGGAAGGTCATTATGGTCAATATGGTGAAGTCGGTGAGAACTCCGGAGATGGGGATGGGGTGCTCCTCGAGGACCGGATTTTACCATGTTACGGCAAGTGCGGTGCATTGTGAACCGTCCGATGAAGGCTCCTCGATAAAATAATGGCCTAATACATTAAAAAAAAAAATCCCCACGCATAACTTTCGGAAAGGCAATAGACCTACTGATCTTCTTGCTAATATTGGAATCGAGAAGCGATTGGACACTACGGGTGCGTTTGTTTTGGAAAAAGTGTTTTTTGGGAATTCATTTTCCGGACTTTCAATCGTTTATTCGCCGAAAATGATAAGTCAACGGGAAACACTTTCCGTTCAAGGAAAACATTCATGTATAAAATTAGGAAAGTGAATTCCCTAATCTAACAAGGTGAAAACACTTTCCGGAATTGCTTCCCTTGAATTTTTTTAATATTTTATTCTTTTCTTTTATTCTTTTTCTTTTTCCTTTTTTGTTTTAAAAATAAAATATTAAAAAATTAGTTTTTTTTTTGCACGAGATAAAATCATGGGATTGAAATCATTTTCCAAATGAGATCCAAACGCCTGAAAATGTTTTCGATCACGTATCACCAAATAAAGAAAAACTAACTATTTTTCTGGAAAATGATTTTCCGAAAAATATTTTCAAAAAACGTTACGTTTTCAGTGAAATAAACGTATCCTACATTCTACTTGCAACCTCCTAGCGAATTATCTCATGTTTTGTTTAGTGATAAAGTTGGAATAGTAGACTTTAGACGTTAAATTATTTAGTTTTGTACCTTTATCTACCAAAAAAAAAAAAAGCCCAACTTTGGATTTAGTCCAAATTTTACCATAATTTTTTTTGTCCCATAAAAATACCCAAATTCTACTTTAAGGTTTTTTTGGTCCCACGGAAAACTCCCGACTTTAGGTCATGTCCAAATTCTTCCGTCCAGTTCCAATTTTATCCTAAAATTTATTCCGTCTCATAAAAAATAACTAATTTTTACTTGAGTCACAAATCTGCTCCCGTTAACTCTGTTCAAAATTTTTCGTTGACAACTGAAAGATGGAAAACTCCTAATCACAAGTTATTCGAGTGTCTCGAGGTCGAGCTCTCTGACCGTGAGAGACAGAACTCTCCCAAGCATGAGAGATTGAAGATCAAGCGCAAAATCGAAAAATCCCAAGCGAGATGGAAGGAAAACTCTCTTAAAAGTAAGAGCAATTGATAAAATCCAACCCTGATTGCTCTAGTTTTTACCAAAATTTCATATCCAAGAAGATGTTGTTTGGGCCAATATAGAAATCCATCTCCAAAGGACTGCTGAATGGATATGAAATTTGGGGTAAAAAGTAGAGCAATGACGTGAAAATGTCACGTAAGATCACTAAGGGCAACTTTGGATGGAGGGTTAACGGCAAAATTTTGGACCCAAAGTAAAAGTTGGTGATTTTTTTACGAGACAGAAAAATTAGAGTAAAATTAAAACTGAACTTAAAGCTAAGGTTTTTTTACGAGACAAAAAAAGTTTAGCATATAATTGGAACTAGACCTAAAGTTAGGGGTTTTTTTAAGAAACAGAAAAAAAATTAGGGTACAATTGGTACTGAAGTTAAAGTTGGAGGTTTTTTAGGATATTAGGCCAATTCCAAAATAGATCATTAATGTTTTATCTAATACTAATTAATTATTAATAGCAATTAATATTGTCTATGCAATTTTTTTTAATAACTTTTTGGTTAAAAAAGGAAAATGGGAAGCCCGTTCCTTTCAACCAAACTCCAAGTTCGTAGCTTTAGAAACAAGGTCAAGTCATTGTAAATAGATGTTTAGCTTGTATTTGATGAAAAACCAAACTTAGATTCAAAAGTTATTAGTTGAAATGAAAAAAATTAGGGTTAATACCACCAAAAATCCCAAACTGGTACGCGTGTGACAATTTTACTCCAAACTTTTTTTTACCACAAAAAACCTCAAACTGGTACGCGTGTGACAATTTTACTCCGAACTTTTTTTTTACCACAAAAAACCTCAAACTGGTACGCGTGTGATAATTTTACCCCGAACTTTTTTTTTTACCACCAAAAACCCCAAACTGGTACACCTGTGATAATTTTACCCCGAACATACAAAAAAAAACCCCAAACTGGTATATTTGTGACAATTTTACCATGAACATACCACAAAAAACCCCAAACTAGTACACATGTGACAATTTTACCCTGAACTAAAATTTTAATATTATTTTTTATTTTTTCAAATTTTTATTAATTTTTTTGTTTTTTTTTCTTCATCTTCAACCTCTGGCCGGTGAGGTCGGCCTCGCTGGCTAGTCATGGCCATGGGCCGGTTTCGGCTCGGAACCGGCCCGGTCAAACCCGGGCCCGCGGTTCAAAATCGGAACCCGCCCGTTGACCGGGCCCGCGGTTCAAAACCAGAACCGGCCCGTGGCCTACGAGCCCGGTTCCGGTTCCAAAAAAAAATTAAAAAATTTAAATAAATTAATTAAAAAAAAAACCTACAGCAGGGCCTACATGTCTGCAGGCCCTGTTGCGGCCCGTTGCCAGGGCAGCCTTGGCAACGGGCAAAAATAAAAAATAAAATAAAAAATAAAAAAAATAAAAAGATAACCGTTGCAAATTGCAACGGTTATCTAGCTTTTTTTTTTATCCTAAATTTTCTTCTCATTTTTTTCTTATAAATTCTCTCAAATTCTCTTAATTCTCTCAAATTCTCTCAAATTCTCTTCTCTCAAATTTTCTCGATACTCTAAATTCTCTCAAATTCTCTTAAATTCTCTCAATTTTCTCAATCCGCGCAATTCTCTCTTAATTCTCCCAATCAATCCGCTCAATTCTCTCGATCCACTCGAAAAATGGCAAGTGGAAGTCGAGTGTCAACTGGCAAAGGTAAGAATATCATGACGGAATCCCATCATTCTTTTGATCCTTGTGATTATGCAGATTTTCAAGATGATGAAATCAACATTTTTCCCGATGTGGAGCGCGTCCCGACGCAAGAAAGTCTTCATCCTCCTGCCAAAATATCTACAACAAAGGAGGCGGAGCGGGAACTTACATATGACATTTGGGATCACTTCACGAAAATGGAAATGTTTGATATTGATAAAAAAAGGTATGATATAATTTGTAAACATTGTGGGAAAATCTATAAATATACAGTTGGATAAGGATATGGAACATTCAAACGACATCTTAGGAGCAAACATCTAACCCAAGCGGGAATCGATATCAGGCAACAACAAATTTCCGGGTACGTCAATCCTAACACTTCCCCTTTATTTCGTTTTAATGAAAAAACTTATAAGGAAGAATTAGGTAAATTTGTTTCCGTTGAGCATTTATCATTTAATTTTGGAGAAAGATTTGGTTTTAATCAATTTGTACAAAAAGCATGTGCTCCACAAGCAAAACGTGTTCCTAGAAATTCACTTAAATAAGTAATTAAAGATCTTTACAAAAATGGAAAAAAAAGATTACAAAACTTTTTTATGCAATTTAATGGATGCGTGTATATAGGTAGTGATATTTGGAGTGATGATTGGTAAATTCATTCTTACATGGGCATAACATGTCATTGGATAGGTGACGATTGGAGTATTAAAAAAAGAGTTATTGCATTTAGGCTGCGCATGACAACTTGCCAAATAGTATTTGATTCTGTTCTTTTGTTCCCAGAATCAGTTTGGGAACAGAAATCCGTTTGTTTATTTTTTTGATTCTGGGCACAAATTTGCACAAATTCTTGCAAATTTGTGCCCATAATCAGTTTTGGAGCAGAATCAAGAATAAAAAAAAAGTAGCTTCTTGATTCTGGGAACAAAAATGAGAATCAATTTTTTTTTCTTCTTCTTTTTCTTGGTTTTTAATGTAGCTTCTAATGTCCGGCGTGAGGACCACCCTCGCAGTATATGGCGAGATTAAAATATTTTAATAAAAAATTATTATTAAAAAAAATTTTTACCGGCCATGGCCAGCAACCAGGCCATGGCGAAAAAAATATAAAAATATTATTAATAAAAAAAAATTTACAGGCCATGGCGAAAAAAATAAAAAAAATATTATTAATAAAAAAATTTTTACCGGCCATGGCCAGCGATCAGGCCATGGTGAAAAAAATAAAAAAATTTATTTTCAATAAATTTTTTTTTATTAAAATATTATTAATAAAAAAATATTTATAAAAAAATATTTTATCGGCCATGGCCAGCGACTAGGTATGGCGAAAAAAAAAGAAAAAAAATATTTTTTTAGTAAAATATTTTAAAAAAAAGTATTAATAAAAAAATTATTTATAAGAAAATTTTTTACCTGCCATGGCAAAAAAAATAAAAAATTTATTTTTAATAAAAGTATTATTAATTAAAAAATATTTTACCGGCCATGGCCAAGAAGGAGGAGAAGAAAAAAAGAAAAGAAAGAAATATTAAAATATTTAAAATGTTATTAAAATATTATTAATAAAAAGAATTTTTATGCCGTTACCAAACGCATTTCTGTTCCCGGGTACAGAATTTTGGGCCGTTACCAAACGTCTTCAAATGCTCAGAATCAGTTCCCGGGCACAGAATAAAAAAGAATCATTTCTGACCAGAATCTGTTCCCGGGCACAGAATGGTTGCCATGCGCAGCCTTAGAGTTTTTGATGGTAAGCATACGGCAAATAATATTTATAGAATAATTAGGCAAATTTTAGAAGAATATTATTTGCTTAACAAAATTTTTTCAATTGGTTTTAAAAATGTCGCGGCAAATACCGCTTCAATTGCCGATTTAGAAAATATTTGTAAACCCGCTTTTGGCGGAAAATTTTTTCACGTTAGATGTGCTTGTCATGTTTTAAATTTATGTGTACAAGATGGTTTGAAAACTCTTGATATTTTTCTTGAACCAATAAAAACGGCGATTCAATTTTTATGGAAACATCCTCAAAAAATGAAAGAATGGGGTAGATTTTATAGAGAAAATGACAAAAAGCCAAAAAGATTTCCAAGAGATGTTTCAACTCGTTGGAATTCTACTTTCCACTTGCTTAGTGAATCTTATGAATATAAAGATTTATTATGTGCATTCATTTCTAATAATATACCTCAGATTAATTTATACCCACAAGAGTGGGGTATTTGAAAATTTTTTTTAGATATTTTAAAGGTTTTTAATGATGCAACTTATGCTTTGTCCGGTGTTTATTATCCTACTACGCATTTATTTTTAGTAGAGTATATTAATATTGTCGGAGTTTTTGAGAAATATGAAAATGATGTTGAATTACAACATACTATGTAACAATGAAAATGAAGTGGCTACATTATTATAGCGAAATTCTCATTATTTATTTAGTTGCTTGTGTTTTGATCCGCGTTGCAAATTAGATGGTTTAAGTGATTATTTGCATATGTATTATCAATGTTTACTTTATGATACGGTAAATGTTACAACCATACTAAGTGAGGTTAAAAACGTAGTAATAGAATTATCTAATGAATTTTATACTAAATATAATTTAGGTGATATTGGATATTCTCAATCTACCGAGACACAAAGTGAGAATACAGGTAAAATTAGTAGAGGGTACCAACTTTTATTACACAGACAAAAAAAACAAAAGGGAGTAATAGGAAATATTTCTGAACTAGAGATTTATCTAATCGTTTCTTTTGAGTTTACTGAATTCGAAGGTAGTACAGGTTTTTTAATTTTGGATTGGTGGAAGAGGTACGTAAGCCAATACCCAATCCTTTCTCTTATTGCAAAACAAATTTTTACAACCCCTTGTTCCACAGTTGCGGTCGAACAAGCATTCAGTGCTGGAGGTAATATTTTGGACGAACATCGTTCAAGATTAGCTTCAGAATCAGTGGAGGCTCAAGCTTGTGTCGATGATTGGACGAAGGCTCAATACCGACAACAAGAGATAGATTAGAATAATGAATCCGAATTCTTTAACGATGGAGATATCACCGGTACCGTACCGCTACCGGAACGGGTAGCGACGAGTGAGGGTAAAAGAACTGTTAGAGTTGGCAAATATTTCGGGGACCCTTATTTCTCATACTGGGCATGCCCACGTAAGCTTAGGGAAACCGAAGTATAATCCGACGACATGTGACTCTGCGCACGGAATGCGGGGGTTCGGATAGGCTTAGGTTTTGGGGTCATTTTAGGGCATATATATTATGCTCCTTTTTTTTTTATAGATCATTGTAACGAATTGTAAGGCGCTTAATGATAATTTATTAAGTTCAAGCCCCCTCTTTCTCTCTTTTTGTCCCAAAATTTGATTGTCATTTACATTTTGATTACAATTTATATTGAATAATTCATTATTTCATAATTCATTATTTTTTTATTTCATAATTTATTTTTAAAAATTTTAAATTATGAACCGGAACCGGCCCGGAATCGAAACTGCCAGGGGCGGTTCCGGTTCATACATGGCTACGAATTGGAACCACCGGTTCCGAACCGTGGCTATGACTATCGCCAGCTGCTGGCGAGGGCCGCCCTCGCCGGCGTCGGGCGAGGGCAGCCCTCGCCTGGGCGGGCGAGGGCAACCCTCGCTTGAGTCGGGCGAGGACAGCCCTCGCCCGACTCGGGAGGGTCACCCTCGCTGAGGCCGGCGAGGACGCCTCGCCCGACGCCGCAAGGGCCGCCCTTGCCGGATCCGGTGAGGGCCGTCGGGCGAGGGCGGCCCTCTTCGGCGTCGGGCGAGAGCTGTCCTCGCCCGCCTAGGCGAGGGCGACCCTCACCTGAGTCGGGCGAGGGCCGACCTCACCTAGGCGAGTGAGGACAGCCCTCACCAGATCCGACGAGGGCAACCCTCGCCTGAGTCGGGCGAGGGCCACCCTCGCCCGCGCCGGTGAGGTTGAGCCTCGCCAGCAGCCGGCGGGGCTGACCTCGCCGGCTTTCGCCTCTGGCCGGTCGCCGGTCCGGCGACCGGCCAGAGGTTGAAGATGAAGAAAAAAAAAAGAAAAGAAAAAACAAAAAAATTAATAAAAATTCGAAAAAATAAAAAAATAATATTAAAATTTTAGTTTAGGGTAAAATTGTCACATGTGTACCAGTTTGGGGTTTTTTGTGGTATGTTCGGGGTAAAATTATCACAGGTGTACCAGTTTGGGGTTTTTGGTGGTAAAAAAAAAAGTTCGGGGTAAAATTGTCACACGTGTACCAGTTTGGGGTTTTTGGTGGTATTAACCCAAAGGAAAATGGGAAGCCCGTTCCTTTCAACCAAACTCCAAGTTTGTAGTTTTAGAAACAAGGTCAAGTCATTCTTATGGCGCATAGGTATAAAAATCAAGCTTTTCAAACTTCAAGAAGGTATGAATTTTTCCTGAAACTCGAATTTCAAACAGATTAACGGCTTCGATCCTTCTCTTTGTCCAATATAAGATGATCTTTACTTGATTTTGGTAGACTAATTTTGGACCATGCAGGAACATTTCATACAGGGTAATCCCGAGCTGAATCCAACCCAGCAATGAGCTTTTTAAGCTGCAGGTTTTGGCCTTGTTGCTAAGCAATGACATGAATGCAGATGAAAGGACTGTATTATGGGTTGGCTCCGTTTGAGTCCATGAACAAAGATGGAAAAGACTCGATCCCATCTTCCATTTTCTTGACATGAACTGCACGCCAGTAATGTTATTTGCCATCAGAATGAAGTTGTAGGGCTTAAGAAGATCGACTGATAAGCTTTTATTGATCTAGTTCATCGTACATAAGGAAGCATACTCTCCCACTTTCTCTAAAACTTTAGGCCCTCTAATCTTCAGGCGTACATTTCCAACAAATACAGTCATTGATCCAGCTAAATCTTCTACATATTCTTAAGCTAGCTCTTCGCCTTTATCTTAACAGAGAAATATGATTATCCAGATCATGTGGCATATGATCCAAACCCTTAATTCACTACCCTGCAGTCCTTCCTAACCTCCTCTCCGCCTGTGATGCTGCTCATCTTGATCATGGACTTGACAAACGCGTCGACGAATTCCTCGTGCGAGCCCGCGAACTTCTCGACTAGACCCTTCGTCTTGGGCACCGCCAGGAGCGCCTGGTCCGAGGAGAACAGGCCCTTCCCCTGGAGGATCAGCTTGAAGTAGGTGTTGTCGAAGGTGGTCGAGGAAGGGTCCATGGTGGTCCCCGCGTTCTTTGGCTTGTTATTGCTCGGGCACACGCCCCTCAGGCTCGCTGCGAGGGACGGGTGCATCGATGGGTCGACATCGTGCGTGGCGTTGAAGTTGCGGATCCTGCCTGCGAATGAGGAGCAGTGGGAGAATCCTAGCGTGTGGCCTCCTTCAAGTGGATAGAAGTTGAGATCAGAATCATCAATAGTAAAAAAACAAAAACAAATGACTAAATCTGGCTGAGTGAATTTGTCGATGAAACACTGTTATAGATTGGTCTGTTTGATCATTTGCCTTACCCGAAAGAGCCACAAGATCTTCCATAGAGAGACCTCTCTGGGAGAAGCTCTGCTGGAGCTGAGAAATGTTGAAAACTGGTGCTGGGAGTTGTGTCGACTCGCTGGCCTTTGATGTTCTTCCATCCTTCCTTCCCTTGGGCACATCCCAGGTCGGACCTCCGGACTTTTTTTAAAGCATCAGAAATGAAGAAAATCACAATCAGATAGGCAATATGCTGTACAGAAGAAAAGTTTCTTGTTGAGAAATTACGGTAAAACTGCTATTAGAGGAAGGGATCTGCTCAGTGGTCATTGATCCAGTCATTGACCCTATCCATGCACGTATTGAGTAAATACGTATGTCTATCCAAATACTTGCAGCGCAAGCATACAGTCTTTATAGTCGGTAGCTTAACACGGTCCTGTCTGGTATCTGTTGGATAGAACTATGATATGGCAAAATATTTTCCAGGATCGAGACTTGTGCCAGGACTGTCCAAGACATTGCGTACTAAGCTCGGGATTGGACAGTAATCCTACACTTGACCCTATGATGTTTCCAAGATATTAGCGTTTAGGCTTTAACTGGGTTAGGGTTGATTTTCGGGATAACCTCAGCGACAAGCTATGATGGAGCGACTGGTCGGTCGTGAAGAATCGGGATATACACGTAACTGAAGTGGACGAGGAGATGATTTTACCAGTATGACGGAATCTCTGGCAGCTAGTGCCAAGATGTCCGCACATGAAACCACACCAGGGCAAAAATCTTCCAAGTCCTTTTTAGCATTGTCGATTACATAAAATGCATGCAGAGAGACATTAGGAGGCCCGTCCTTTTCCGCTTTGTTGCTTCCTTTGGAGTTTAAAAGCACCGACGCGTCGCAACCCTGCATTAGGCCACTAATAGCACTTTTAGTTGATTTCTGATAACAAGGAAGCTCTGTGCAGGAACTCTGAACAGAAAGAACAACTATCGACATGTTTGCTTACCCTTATGAAACAGTCGTGAAAATGCATCCGCAGGAGAGCGGCTGGTACGGTTTTGTCCTTCATTGCTGCATTCTTGACAGCATTTGCGATGATCAACTCAGCATTGGGACAGGTCTTGTCGTAGTAATTGGAACTTAGTGAATAGATTGGAGAGACAAATGAAAGTACAAGAATCGAGCTGAAGAGTGCAACACCCATGGCCATGCCTAGTACACTTCTCAACTTCACCAAGTTCTGTCAAGCTTTGAAGGTAATTTGCACTTTGAATGGATATAAATAGTCCGAAAAAGGAAGATTTAGTTGAAACTACAGACAGCGATATGACGGTAGCCACCTAAGGTGGGTGTTTTTAGCAAGAATCTTGATAATGAAGTAGTGATTTGGAAGCAACCTTGGGACTACAAGACGTTCCACGTGTTTCAGCAGCACTACCAACTATAGGTCTGCTAAGTACATTTTCCTCGCATAGAGTCCAGATGAGAATGCTGACTACGATATGCCATTACCTTACTTTTCTTTAACATGAAGTTTATGATGGTTTTTGGTAATTAGTGGGCCAAGGTTTATAAGATCTCAGTCAAAAAGTGAATTTCAATGGTAAGTCCCAGATTTAACTTTTTGCGAGCATTGAGCCACTCAGTACAAGGGACATTGAAGGACAGTTTGCATGTATGTTCTGGACAGGACTGACGAATCTTGTCTGATCAATGATTAATGAAGTTGTGACCAACATATGCTTACACTAGGAGTCATATGAAATCTAATAAGCTCTTGCGATTCTTCTTCTTCTTCTTCTTCTTCTTCTTCTGGTGGCTGGGCCATTTGAAATTTGTGTCTTTTAGCATGGGACCTTCAGAGTAGAAAATCGTTTTCTGTTCTGAGGTGGTTAGGATGGGCAAATCAACGGTGCAATAGCTTTGATAAAAGCTTAATTTCCAAGTTTCAACTTTGTTAGTTAGGATGGTCGGATCCTTTTTTAGCTGGTGGGGTTTCTGCTGTAAATTTGACTGTTGCCTGTTGGGCATTCTCTAGAGAATTCAGTGCCCTCCGGTACAGTGCCAGCATTTTGGCTCTTGGTATAAGGTTTTTTCATATTGTAAGACGTCATTCCAATAGACTGACATGACTCGCGGATGCTTTCAACTTGTCGCCTGAAAGTTGAATGCATCTTTAGTTGAATGCATTGGGTTAATCGGAGAAAAAGTATACTCATAATGTAGGTTGCCAGCTTGAGGAAAAAGGCTATGAACATAAAAAATCGAAGTCGTATAATCAGCAATCAAGAAATATTTACAGTGACATGTTCCTCATAAGTATGCCAATGAACCCAATAGGGAGCGAATATGTATCTCTCAATAATGACGCATCGCCTAAACAAATGCCTAATATCAATATACATGATACAAGGGATGAGAAGTAATCGAAATGGGGAAAAAGGATCAAACAATAGCCAAAATTGGGAAAAGAATTATCATGAATGTATAGATAAAAGGAATCAGATGTCGAGAACGGTTTGACATAGAGGACGGACTGCCTGCTACGGTATTATTCCCACTGCCTGAAGTATCCTGTGGATTGACAGCGACAGCAGGAGGGGCTGAGCTAGAATTTGTTGGGCTGGTTGGTAATATGCTGGAATCTGTTGCATTATAACCTGCGAAATGAAATACAATGTAAGCACTCTGACGACTGACAGCAAGCAAATTCAGTACAGCTTGTGTTCTACTCACAGTTGGATGACTTCCAGCCAAGCACCATTCTCTCTCGATCAAAAACTATGCGATAACCTGTCATGAAGTTCTCTGACAAAATAAAAGGGAAAAAAAGAAGATGAATACTTAATGACAAGATAGACAAGCACCGGAAGCAATAAATCCGAGTCCTCACAATTAATATTTCAAAAGTTCCAATCATATCAATTCCAAGGAAAAATGACTGACAGCAGGAAGAAGCCACACCGTGAACACTATGCCAAACCTTTTTTTCATCTAGATTTTAGAGTTGGACTAAACGTTCCTAGAAAAACAGAGTGGGGTTGCAGCTGTGCTTTTGTGCATGCAGCAAACAAGTTGGTTATTCCACAGGAAAGAGCTTAATGTAGCATTGATTTTATTCGCTTCAGGGAAGAACTTAATACAGCACGGGTTTTATCAGTATTTAAATCCAGCCTATCCTAGTAAGCCTTGGCAAGCTTGTAGTTGATAAGACATGAAAGAGAAATCTGCAGTGATTTCTTTGATCTGTTAGCATAAGAGAGGGCAAATCTGCGGGAGGGTGAAGGGTGAAAACTGACTGCGAAATAGCAGAAGAAGCACAACGATGCACTCTGAGTAACATAGAGAACTAGAAGAGGGGGACAACTTTTCATGGAAATAAGCAATACAAATATTTCTGATGACCAGATACTCACGTCCGATTATATTTACATCTCCACTTTTGACTAGAGCAAGACAATATACGTAGGAGTCCTGAAGATAAAAAAAAAAAAAAAAAAAAACCAGTTAGCATGTATTTTACAGGAAAAAACATACAGAGATCGAGAGGAAACTTGACGGTCTAACTTTTGAAAGTACCTCAACAGATACTATTTCTATGGGATTGGTGACATAAAACTGATCTCCACCTTTCATGGTCATATTCAATGTTGCAGTTTCAAAGCTACTCTGGTTTGGGCTGCACATAGATTTGAGTTCAGCATCACAAGGAAAGAAATTCATTGTATACAAGTCTGTCCATAGACGCGCTAACCTCAAATCATAACAGTATTCAAATGGAATACTGGAGTCTGAAGAATGTCGCTTTTCTTTGGCCAAGGAATTGAACTGCGCAAAACATGTACTCTGTAAACATGCTATAGAGAGGTAGGTATGTCCATGTGGTAGTCTGAAATAGAGAAGTAAAGAACTTACAGTCTCCCCAATGAACGAGTAAGCTGGGTCGTTCAAATATGTGAATGAGGTACCAGAGTCAAAAATTGCACTAAATTCGGCATCTTGAGCAGTTCCTCCCACATTTATTTGAGTAAGGGTAATGTTGTAAGTTGGACTGGTAAAAGTTACAGGGAGAAGAATCATTAGAATTGGCCAAGAAAGGATAGAAGAGAAATGCTGCAACCCCATGCCATGAGTTGGCAACATTAATCTAGGCAATCCAACAAGATTACTTTTCTTCCCACAAAGAAGCTTACTGTGATTGCCTAAGGTTGAATGGTGTCTCTCCTTGGTCTGAGCTGCCTTTGTCTCCAAAACTAATTCTTCCAATTCCATCAGGTCCAAAGCACATTGAAAATGAATTTGAAGTGAGCCCTTCTTCAGCCAAGATGCTAGGAACAGATATGTTACTCATGCCCAGCCCAAAGAGACCATTTGGCGCAGCACCATTTAAGAAAGAACCAGTTTGAATCTGACCACAACTGCAAAATCAAGCATATCTAGCTCAGCTACTGAACTTCTGACTACTGGGAACCTAGTAAAAGCATTAAAAAAGTAATGCTAAACCAACAGTAATATATTTTTAAACTTCTTCTCCTCAATTTTTGGCTTAAATAGATCCAAAGCAAAAGCAACAACTACACTCTTCCAGACAGATAGAAAATGTCAATGTTCACAGCCTGTCCTATGAAACCTTGCAACAAGCACCAGCAAGGGCAAGTTGGTCACTAGTATTTCTTCTGTAATCATACTGCAACAAAAATTTCTTGAGTTGGTTCCCCTAATTCGCTCAAATGGTGCTGGAAGACAGTATACTTACCCAAATGTGATTTTAGCATCGACAGCCTTTGAATGATCCTCGTCTGTCGTCAAATGCAACACATCTTCCACCAAAATCCCAGTAGTCGAGGTACCATTAGAAAGATAATTAACCTGATAGTCACAACTGCTAAGTGCCGAAGAGCATTGCGACTGTTGTCCGCATATTGTACTGTTGCAGGGTACTTCTGTACTTGTTGATGATGCATTAGGGCTGTAAATGTTGAATTGTATTGTCTGGTTGACAAGAAGATTAACGAGAGCAACCTGTTAATTCTAGTGATCTCTCTTAGACGAAGGACACAACATAGAGAGGCCAACTTTAATTATTTTTCTTGTCTCTTCCTTCCATTTGTGAGAAAGTCTTTCCTTAAGTAGCTAAAGTTTTCATGCCATAATAGAGGGAAAATAATAAGCTCTCATGGATACACCTGAACATAATGGATGCAGATATAAATGTTGAAATATTGTACAATTTTCAGATTTTACCTCTGTCAAAAGGATTTTAGTTTGTTATCTTGCCCATTTTTTTTATAATCACACACGTAAGGGCACCATCGACAATGTGGTTTTTCAACTCCCAAGTCCCTGTCTTAATTCTGGAACTGGATATCACATGATTAAATGGCTTCACGGAACCATGCCTAAATTCTTTATGCAAAAACCCACCTCAAACTCTATCGCCATGGTAGTCATGGTAAGTTGTATATAATACTTCTATCCGTATTATTCTCTCTCTCTCTCTCTCTCATTCAAACTTGTCAATCAACAGCCCGAGATGTCAACAATTATTCACCATATTAACTTCTCCATGACACTAGTCTATGCATTGCATCTGGAGTTACTAGAACTACCCTAATGCACGCACCCGAGATAGCAATTGAAGCTTGGACTTTTGTAATGAGCGACAGAAAAAACGGAGCATTCCTATCCAGAAGGATACCTGTCCAGATGATGTCTTTAGGCTCCGTATGCAACTTTTGCAGTCACAAGGTAACCAGAACAGATCGCTGCCGGTGTCTAGAGCCACCAAATAGGATAAACTCGGGGTCCCGACAGAAACATTGGCGTAGTGCAAACTGAAAGGCCCAGAAACAAAGTAGCACTTATCAAATTATGCGGATCCACTCGAGCAAAATTTCGAAGAGTTCTGCCTTCTTCGGTTGTCAATAACCAGAAGACATCGTGCAATATCAAAACAAGAATAATAATTCGGGGGAAATTCCGTTTCGAAGCCGAAAATAATTGAAAAAAAGAAAGGAGGAGAAATTCAGCTGGCACAGGGTATGGCAGAAAAGTAAATGAAACAAAAGACGAGCCACAGCTGGAAGAGGAAAGCAATCACAGATCATGCATACAAAGTAACTAATTGAGATGGTCAGCCTTATACGTAGGGATTCGATGATCGAGCTGTCACAGCTTTCTTGAATCGTACAAGTTGAAACTGTTAAAGTGGAACAAGCAAAATCCGTGCTTCTGTCATGTTTCATCATTTCACTAGCAAATTCCAAGTAATCCAACCACAATATCTCCAGAAGCAATCGCACTTAACAAAAAAAAATGGAGAACTGGAGATCGAACCAAAAACAGGACGAGTGGGGAGAGAACACAATACGTACTATCCAAGAGTAGGTGACAGAAACGTCTCGTTGCCGCCGGAGAAAGTCAGAACCGTCTGATTACCGGACGACGACGACGACGCGAGCCGACGGCCGTGGACGGCACGGTCCCGCATCGCCATGACCCTGTAGTACTCCACGCTCCCCTTCTCGGGCAGCCGGTCCACCTCCAGCACTCCCTTCACGGGGTCCGAGAACCGGTGGTGCACGTCGAACCCGAACGTCGCGAACCCGCGGCAGCCCCGCGGCATCGATGCCAGGGCCACCGCCAGCGTGACGAGCGCCGCGGCCAGGAAGGCGGGGCGGGCGGCGGCGGCGGGGGGCGGCGGCGGCATCGCCATGGATCAGGAGGGGAAGGGGAGGGGAGAGGAGGGCGATGGTTGGGGAGGTCCCGGAAATGGTGGGGAAATGGCCAGGCGAACTGAATGGGGGAAGGAGAGAGGGGGAGCTGAGCTACATGACCTTGCCATGTTAGTCAAAGACACACTTCTACGCAAAAGTCCATCTCAGGAAGAGATGGAGAGAGATGGGAACGCGATTGTTTGGTGGCGGGGGAAGGTTGAAGGTGAAGGACCCACGGTCGCGCAATTCCATACGAATGCACGACTCGAATTTGAAAATTGCGTGTTTTTTTGCACTTTGGCCCTCCATCTTCACCGGTCTTCCCATTTCCCACCCCCAAAAAAGATTGCTTCCCAATTTTCCTGCACCGGCACCGCGAGAGGTAGAAGTGAGCATGATTCCAGGATAGAACTTGCTAGGTTCCAGATTTCAAGATATGCAAGGTAAGTTCTAAGTTTTAAAAATTGAGGAACCTGTTTCGACGGGTACGTTCCAGGTTTTAATATAGGTAGAACCTCGAACCTGAAACCTTGAATAAGTTTTTTGTGTTTTTTCTTTGTCTATGTCTTCGCGTGATCTTGCGATATTCCATGGCTCTAGATGATGAGTGTATAATTTGGAATCACTAATATAAGTTTTCATTTTATGACTTATTAATGTTTCATATTTTTCACGTATTTAAATATAAGTATAATCTGGAATGGCAACGGATGTGTCGTAGCGAATCGAACCGGATCGAGCCGAGCCGAGCCGAGCCGAGCCGGACGCATCGTTCGAGCTCTCGCTCGAATCTCTCGTCGAGCCCAGGCGAAGCTCCATTTTTCAAGACTCGAGCTTGATTCGAACTTTGATCATGCAAGCTCATTAAAATGAAGAGTGTAATATGATGGCGATAACTTGAAAGGAGTCCGATGGTCCATTTTTCGGGCTTAATTTGAAAAGTTGAAACTTAAGAATGGTGACCAAAAGTGCAAAAATTAGAAAAAGTAAGGATTGGAAATGCAAATGGGACATCATCGTCAACGGCGGACTAGGGAGGAGGAGGAGGAGGGCGTTGGGAAGTTGCTGTCGGGCGGCCGTTGACGTTCTAGAACATTAGCGTTACCCACAAGAAAAGAAAACGAGGCGCGGACAAGTGGCAAGATCCTAGCCGTTCGATTTGTACCATAAGGTCCTGACCTCCCTAAGTTACTTTCTCAAATTTTCCGACCCATGTTTCATACGATCGTCGCATACAAAACAGAAGAAGAAACCTTAGTATATTGTGTGGGGAAGTGTAGCAACTAGTTCAACTAATATTGCACATACGCCTCCATCATGTACCTAGGCACGACGCGGATCATCGTCTCGTTGTTTAGAGCTCTGGCCGTCGGGAACGCGTTATTAAATCGATATGCGATTAAATATAAGTAGTTGGTAACAAGTTTGAAAAAGAGGAATACCCTATGAATTTATTGAGTTGAAAATGAGAAAAAGAAAGTCCGAACACGCGGAATCCGAAGCCGGTCCACGGTGCGTGAATCGTGGACGACTTTGCTGCTTCTTCTTTGGAGGTGCTAATCAGCCCCCCCATCAATTTGGCGGAGACCAAATTGAAAGAACTTTTGGCTCCTTTTTTCTTTGATGATTTCAATTCGTCCAAGTCAAACGGAGATAATGAAAGGGGGCTGACAAATTAGCCCATTTCGGGCCGAAAAAATCAATTAGCAACGGAAAAAGGGCCCCGCACTTTCGTATCGGACAGCAGCAGCCTCCTCCCGGTATCGATAATTTCGAAAAATCTGGTGACGATTTTCTGGATGGAGCGTTAACAAGGGACAGATTTGCAAGTAAAGTGTGTTCAAGATCGGGATTTTTTTTGTCCAAGGGAATGAGGCCATTTTTTTTTTCCCGCACTTCTGGTGCTCAGAAAATCCCGTTTTTACAAAAAGGACCACGAATCTTTTGATATTTAATTACATTTCTTGCCATTGCAATTTCAGAGAATTGCCGAATTCATGAATCAAGGATCACCATGTTTCGTTGCCTAATCTCTTGGCGGAGATGGAGGCGTTTGACCGAAGATGTAGGGGGCCTTCTTTCTTCGCCCGCCGTGATTAGTTGACCAATGTGAAAGGGTGGCATCATCGTCTCTAGCGATATTGGCCGGCGAGGGGAAGCTTCGTCAGATTACGCGCCTGATACGAAAAGTCTCCCGTTGATGACGGGCGACCGCAGCGTGCGAAGTCCAAGGTTTGCGCTGGCTAGTTCTGACCTCGGCGAGGACGAAACTGAGATGAAGTTACGTATGGACAGGGGCTGTAAGTAATTTGATCAAATCTTCGATGTCGCATGATCGCGGAATAGGAATGTGGCACGAGGCTCTGTTTGAGCGTGGGCTGATTGTTCTGCGAATGAGTGGACCCAAGAACGGCCAAGGCACGGAGCACGAGCAACGTGAGGAGGTAGCCTAATGACGCGTGTGGATGCTGATGGTCCGTCTTTGTCGCTCCCGTCACGTCCGGGGTCGTTCGGGAGGCGTCGTCTCCTCCCGTGTCTTACTTCCCGATGAGTTCGCTAGGATCCTCCGTGTCGGAGCCTGCATTAGAGTTTGGAAATCAATGATGCGGTTGTGATTAGTTTGGCTCTCTAGATCAGAGAGGACTGGAATGTTAAGTGGGTCGGGGGATCGAAGAGCACGGACAGTTGCATATCTTCCGCCCCGGAACGAGCCTTTCGCGGTCGAACACGACTCGGTTGCCCGTCATGAAATTCTCTGGAAAAAGAAAGGAGTTGCGGTAGAAAAACGGGTTCATTCCTATAAAAATCGAATGAAGTGTGTAGATTGTATAAGCATGAATCTGGGATTTAGATACTCCCGAGTCCCGCACAAACAATTCAGTTGTTCATGAGTATTCATTAGACCTGCCAAACGATAGTGTAAGATTGGATGGAGATCGCGAGTCTTACGGCCGATTATGTTCACTTCTTCATCCTTGACAATGGCGAGGCAGTACAAAGAGTTTCTCCTGCGAAACAGCGGGAAAGAATTGAACTGTCATGTGAGTTAGTTACGCTTCATAGAACGTAAGACATCTGTGAAATCATTTGCATAATCAAGCTCGCTAACCGAGTAGAGATGACAATTGTAGGATCATGGACAGCAAATTGGTCGCTTCCTTTCATAGTTAAACTCATGCTTGGTACGAAGTTGGCGTTGCCACTGGGACTGTCCATCACCACAAATTAACTAGCTTTCAGTACATAACTGTAATGATATTAAACTGACATTGTCTCCAGGAATCCGAAAAACATCAGCTCAAATGATAACAACGCTAGTAAGGGATTCTCGATTCATGAAGGTGCCACTTATCTTGTACTTGTGAGTGAAACTGCAACAGAAACGACAACATCAACCAAACAGAGACACGACCTAGTCATTTAGGAAGCGATGCAGTTCTGCATCAAATAATGTAGCTTACACAGCCTGGTATAAGTCTGATCGGTCAAGCACGTGAAGGAGGTTCTGGAATTGAACAGAGCGGTGATGTTCACACCGAGTCGCGTCTCTGCTATCTAAATTTGAGCCACCATGACATTATAGCTCGGTCTGCAAAGTAGTTTATGGACATGAGTTGCAGGATAAGTTTCTTCTTATGGAAAAAGAACTCTTATCATGCTGAGAAGTTACCACTTACTTTGACAGGTTAGGATTAAACGAGGTCTCATCCTGGTCAGGACTACCTTTATCCCCAAAATTGATCCTTCCAACCCCATCGTGCCCGAAACACATCGAGAACGAGTCTGCTATATAGCCCTCCCTCGACAAATGCCAGGAACCGATATCTTCCCCATACCGAGGCCGAGTAATCCATTGGGAGCTGCAATATCCGGGAAAGAACCACTCTGCACCTGTCCACAACTGCATATACATTGCTAATTGAAACTGATATCGAGATATACCTTATGCAAATAAGGAAGGCAAATATGATTGCGAACTCCCAATAGCATAATCTGTTATAGTGATGTTGATTGAATGAATTCAGAGGCTGTGAAGATCAAAGATGTGATGTTCAAGAACTTACCCGAATGTTATGTATGCCTCAGGCTCAACGTGTTCATGGCTTTCGTCTCCTGCGATTAAATGTAGGACATCCTCTACCAAAACTCCAGAACTCGAAGTTTCAGCCGATATATAGGACACGGAATATGGGCAACTGCTGAATGCTCTGACACAATCGCCACGCCATGTGCAAAGACTGTTGTTGCAAGTCACCATTTTGCTTGTCGATGATACCGAAGGGTTGTAAGTGCTGAGATTATAGCCTGGATCAAAAAATTGTAATTCATGTTGAGGTTATAATGATACAAGGGACTGATAGCTACACCAGTTAACTAAAGAATTGTATCCCCCACACTCATGCACTTGGAGCTTTGAACATAGTTGTTCTTATAACCACGGGGACATTAGTGCCATAATGTTCCTAGATTTCCTTGATTAAGAGAAAAGAAGTACATTCAGTCATTTGCTGACTTCCGAATCCAATCAAATTTGCTGTTGAAAGAAACGTCTTTCTGTTTTCTGTTAGATGGACCCCACGCTCAGGGAAAAGATCAGATGATCCAAAGATTAAGAGGACACAAGAATGAGACCGGCATACGGATGCATAAGCTGTGCCTTCAATAGACGCACATCTATAGCAATCACATGGAACCCAGAAAAGGTCGCTGCCAATGTCAAGCGCCACCAGGAATTTCACTCCCGGAGAACCAAGTTGCACTGTCGTGTAATGCAGACTGCAGGTAGCCGCCAAAGATACCCAGAAAACAACATACTTAGCAAGTATGTACGGGGAAATGATCTCTATCCTCTTTCAAGAAACAGTTCAATTCAAGTGCCAGAAAACAAAATCCTCTTGCACCAGCTAATACTCTAAACCAATTCTTTCCAGAAGCCCAAGAGAGCATGCCTATTATGAATTATGATAGAAGTCCTTCGTATGAGAAGTCGAATGTTCCAACAATTTTGCTGATTAAATCAAAGAAAGAAATTCGATGCAGATAATATTACCTTTTGAAAAAGTTGAACAAGTTGATGGGCCAAAAACACGCGAGCAAACAAATTCAATGAAAGTATTAATTTAATATGCTAAAGATGAGTTCTCTCCAAGAATCCAACTGAGGACTCAAATATGACTGAACAAATTGTCTTATTTAATGTTGGAACAAATAACCATCTTTGAGGATAACATACAATCCCAAGGAGCTGATCTTCAAAGTTGAGTTGCCAGTGGAAAATGCCAGCACCGAATCGGCACCCGATGAACTGCGCCTGTGAAGTGCCCGATCATGGTGCGCTAGTTCGGCATAGTACTCATGACTCCCTTTCCTAGGCCAACCACCTGCCGGATAAAGCTTTCCGGTTGACTGGGACCATTGCTTGACCGGCTCAGAGAATTGGTGATGCATCTTGAAGCTGAAGATGCGGCCATTGCAGCCCCGGAACTCCCAGAGGAGAACAGAAGGATGATGATGATGATGATCATACATGTAAATGACGAAGGTGTCATTGTTAGGAGAACCTGAGTAAATTAAGGTGGGTAAAAAGAAAGTACTCAGTTCTTGAGAGAAGTTGAACCCAAGCTTGAGTTTCTGTAGTATAATAGAAGAGAGAAAGAAGTGGCAATAGAGAGAGAGAGAGAGAGGGAGAGTGAGGAACTTCCTATTTTCGAGTTGACAGTTGGGGAAGTTGGAAAAAGGCGGGGTTTTTTCTCTTTCCCTCTTTATATGATTCTTGCCGATGGAGTAGTGCAATTGGCTAAAGCATTAAAAACTGCTAGACTTGAAGCGTGATTTAACAAACACAAGATACAGAGGTTTAATTCCACTCAAACCACCAGTTGTAAAAGGTGATTTTCCCCCGTTTTTCTGAATCTGTTTAGCGATCCTTGTCCACGCTAGATCAATATTTGAAGCAAAAGTTTTCTGGAGTTTATGATGAAATGCCGTCGACAAAACAATCATCGTGATTGCACCTTCCAATATCAATTGACTTGATTTGCGGCATGTTCTTAGGATCTCTTAGAAACAACATTCCTTTGGCATTATGGTAATGTTCATTCGTGAATGAACATTACTCCTTGCATCAATGTGGCAGCGCCAATGCACTCTTAGGACCTATTGTGTCGATTTACTTGTATACACACTTAGGAGCACCTCTCCCAGCATATCCATACAAGACACGAGTAGGCGGGTCGAGGTCCTATCAAGGACAACCAAAGATCGAATTTTGTTTGACCAACGCCTTGTCTCGGTGCTACCTTTTTCTATTCTATAAGTGGAATGATACTATGTATCGAGTAGTGATGTGTCTGCTTCAGTGAATCTGCTAGCAACACCTACTTGGAGGCCTCCAAATTCCGTCGCGGTGGAGACTGAATTTGATTAAAGGTGCTGGATCAGCGTCCACAGTTGTATACACGCCCCTCTGTTGAACGTGTACAAGCTCATGTGAAGATATGACCGACTTTTGACGGCAGATTGTTAGTCACGTTATTGCGCGGCAAGAGTTGAGCAAGATCAGTCGGGGGTTTTGATTCTCTGGGTTAAAGTGTTACCAGTTTCTTCCTTCGTCGTTCTTTCATGAGAGGAAAGTGTGTGCAAAAGCTGGATATTAATGGTGGTGGTGGATAGGGCTGATTAAAGAACTGCCTGAGCGGGGTGGCTCAACGGTCATGGGCATGGCCATGACGAGGACTAGTCTCTGCTGCACTGGTGTTCAGTGTTCAGTACAGCAAACACTTCTAGGATTGTGGCCCCTCCATGAAATTCAGATCTTCCCGGAACATTAATTTGAAAATCCGATGATATACTGTACATAAACACTAAAAGGTCCCATGAAGGGTGCAACGGGACATCGACCTCATAAAAAAAAATTCTAAAATAAATCGCAGATTTATACCGTGGATCGTCACACCTCATCTGTACTAAACCCGGTATCCGTGTGAGGAACAAAAATGATCAATATTATACAAGCCAAAATGGTAAAAAATATAAAACAAGAAGAACATGCTGTACAAATTTGGTTCAATTTTCCTGCAGGTTGCAACATCAAGAGCGACCTGCTTCTTCTTAAACAACCGGTGTTTCTTTTTTCGGTTCACGTGGGACTGGAGCATCAGCTGGAAAATGAAAAGATTATCCCTGCCAAAAGATTTAAGTGGCCAATAGGAAATCACACCTCGTATTTCATAGAGGGAATTATAGCGAACCTCAGACCAGAAACTCAATCAAAACTCTGCATCGATTGAAAGCAAGGCTAACCAAAGGAAAAACTTCAAAAATATGGAGTTTCAAAAGACCAATGGCACGTTCAACGGTAGCGATAACAGAACAGTTGCGAATGTTCATGTCCAACTTCAAAATCAATCGGAATATATACATATATATATATATATACATATATATATATATATATATATATATATATATATATACATATATATATATATATATCGTACCCTACCCAAGTGGCTGTTCTAAGCAGACAAAAGAAACAAATATTTAATTTCCCAGACAAACAACAGGCACAGCATCACAAAGGACGGTCCATGCGTACGTGGATGGATGCAAGCAACACTCTTTTTGTAAAAAGACAAACAAGTAGTAAAACATAACCCAGTCGGACTTTTAACGAACCAAACCCCCAGAACATTCACATTCACCGCATTGCACCTACCGATGATTTGACCGGACAAAACAACTACGAAGAAGAAGACAAATAAACAATGTCCCCAGGCAGAGGGAACTCCTAAATGTCACCGAACATCCAATATCGCTTCACTAGAAATGGCTATTTACATGCGATTGGGATTGCTTGCTTAGGGAAGCAAGAAAGAAAAACAGCACACATTCGTTTAAAGGAGTCGAAATTCGACTTTATACATCGTATCAATTTGTCCAAATACAGGGACCAACAGCACTCAAGAACGCTCACCCCTAATCCGGACCCAAAAATTACACAGCACTGGTTTGAATGGAAAGGAAAAATGCCCAAGCAAACTGGGGCACCACGCCTCCGCCTCACCCTCTCCGCCTGTATCTCTTGCGTTTGCCAGCTCCAGTAATCTGCTTGACGACTCAGGGGTGTCGCGGACGGAGATCCAGCATCTCTTGCGTTTGCCAGCTCCAGTAATCTGCTTGACGACTCAGGGGTGTCGCGGACGGAGATCCAGCGATCCAAGGCCTCTCTATTCCGTCGACATAATATGGCTGAGGGTTTGGTTTCATTGCTTCGATCAGGTCTCAACGATTTTTTTAGCAAATTGGGAGCACCTTCCAAGAGGAAGAAAATGGGCAAGTTTTCTTCAGTTCATATTCACATGCTATACTTTGATGGTGGCAAAATGTGCTCCGAGGTAACTCTGGTGGTCAAATTAACACGACACCACGGGGTTCTTTGACGGCCAAATGATCTTTTGCTCCCGCCTTCTAATTTTCATTTCACGCCGTTTAAGCCTTGCACAATGTTGCATACATACTTGATTCGTTGCTTCTTGGAAAAGCCAACCAAAACCATCTCAGAAGCAGCGCCTCTGTTGCAGAGAGCCGAAAAGCTGGTTTGTTCAATACCGATGTTCCAGAAATAAATGAACAAAAGCTTATGCACCATAACTCTTGTTACACGGAGTAATTCCAACGAGCCTCTAGATTGAACATTTCAAAGTGCACGGGTAATGAATCTCAACACGCAAAGCTACATCATAAAGCAGATACCTAAAATTTCATGCACCGCCGGCTCACTATCCACCCCTTGGAGGTTCATATTTCAGTTCAAGATTTTCTCAGTTATGAGGATAGGGAGATCTTCGCATACCAAGAGAATCAAAGTAGGAGATCAAAAATTCTGTACATAAGAGTCATACAAAACCATCTACTGGTCAGGGTATATAGTATGCTGACATTACCAGAGCAACTCTACAAAACTCGGACCTATGCACTGCCCCGCTTAAAAAAGGGTCAAATAAAAACAAGCACTGAAAACAAGCAGCATGGAAGATGTAGATTAGCAACTCTTTTCTTGTTATAGAATTTACAAAATTAGAGATCCCTTCGGCACAATGGGCAAGAGCCATGTCTGATGAGCCATTTATCGATGCAAGGTAGGTGAAACATGTGACGACATTGAGGCAAGCACCGAACCGTCTCTCCAAGCTGAAAGTCCTGGAATTGCATATCACAAGCAGAGTCAAGTTTGATGAGTTCCTTGTGATTTATGGCCCTTCTAATTCTATCTATTTCACGGCCAAAAGCAAAAGCCCCTACTTATAAGACTAATGAGATATACCTGAAGGCACACTGAACAAGAGACTTTCTCCCCAGAAGAATCGACATTATTATCATTAGTAATCGTAATTTTGGGTATCTTTTCGACCGAATCTCCAGGCAAACCTCTTGCCCCGTTGCTGCCGGTGTCAAAAATATTCTGAAACTCCTCAAATCTTGGTTCCACAGCACTCATCTGAATCAAATTCGTTGACATAATGAGTACAGGTTTCATTATCCTCGGGCTAGCAATTTAATTAGTTACCGCTAATTGTAAATCTCATCCGAGGTACCTGACTTTGTACGGCACTCAGCATGGCAGGGCCAATGCGCTCGCGAACAAGTCTGCCACTTAAAAGGCTTGCAATGACGTCGATCTGCGATTGGGAGGAGGCAAGGATAAATGATGGTCAGTGAAATCTGTTTGAGGACGAAACTAAATGGTATAGCCCGATCGTATCTTTAATCCGAGTATGAAGCTAAGTGACGCACCAAATAGAGAAGACACCTCACACCAGATTCATCTGATTGCCAGAGAAGAAGGGAATACTCAAAGACTTCAATAGAGAAGACAGCCCCGGAAATGGCTCCAACTGCGGCACCTCGAATGAATCCGCTCTCCGTCTCTTGGCCGATCAAAGCTCCGGTCATAGCTCCAAGTAAGGTACCCACTGCAGCAACAGGGTTTTCCATCCTTTTTAGTGTAAAAAATGGTAAAAAAAAAAAAAACAGAATCGTCATCGCGTCATGTTTCGAATTCATCGAAGCCACTCGTACTCAAATGCATCAAGCTTCGTTCAAACCCTCCAAGCACTTCTCATTTGTGACAAACTCTTTTCTATTCCCCTTACAACATGAACCAGACTCAGCCAAACTATCATGTATTAAGATCACAAATGTCCCTTATCAATCCAGCCGTCGTTGATTTACATCAGAAATACACACAAAAAGAACTTGCACAAGAAACACCTCATCCCAAAATTACAGAGAACAGACGAAATAGTCAGATAAGCTCACTGTAAGGGGTGGGGGAAGATACAGCCATTGGCCCGCCAATACATGAACAAATAGCAAAAATCAAGAATGCTTCGATGGAAACAAGGGGACCATAAAAGAAGACGACACAGAACAACAAATTCAAGAGAAACGAACTCACCAACCGCGAAGAAAAACGTGAAGATCGCGGAGACGACGTTGCCCAGAATCGCAGAAACCGCCACGCTGCACATCTCCCAGACCCTCTCGACGAGACCCGCGGCTACGAAACCCGATGGCAGACCGAACCGAGGCGATGGGTGCTCGTAAAACTCCATCTTTCCTCGCCAAACACTAATGGGTGCGCTCGTGATCTATCAGAGGGGTCGGAGCCTTCACATGAAAGCGTCTTTATAGACACAGGGGGTTAAGACGAGATGGGCACGCTTAAAGCCCCTCAAGAGAGACAACGAAAAGAGACCGCATCCACCTACCCGCATTAACAAGACATGTCTCTCTTTCTTCTTTTCTGGTTTTGGTTCCTTTGTGGACCCTCTCTCCCTCTCTCCCTCTCCACCCGTTTTCTTCCAAGAACTGTTTTTCAAACAACTCCCACCTCTCTCTCTCTCTCTCTCTCTCTCCCTCTCCCCTCGTGATGAATCCAAGAAACACGAGGGAGAAAGAAGGGGAAGAAGAAGAAGAAGAAGAAGAAGAAGAAACTTCCTAGGAAAGATCCGACGCGCACGCTGATTGGAGCACGAATTGGGCACGAACGGAGCGAAACAGCCGATGGATCTTGACTACGTCGGTGTCACTCGTTGTCGTCTCCCAGATGGGACAAAGGGAAAAACGAAAGCTTTTGTCGACGTGTTTTCGTTTCGTTTCGTTTGGCCCCCCCCCTTCTTCCTGTTCTCTTCTCGGTTTGGACCAAGCAAAGCGATGCTGGTTGTACCTGCTTTTTGACGTCCGCCTACGGCCAATCCATATCTTCTTGTATCCAATTTCATGCGGTCCACACAAAGTTTTGATTTTGGGTTCTTCAACCCCCGTTGGAAAGTATCTTCCCTTGCCTTCGGCCTCGTGAATTCCATTTTGCTCCCCGAATTTTCGGTACTTGTTACGAATCGCTTCCCCGACTGTCTTAATGTCGGGTGCAATTGGCCCCTGGCATTGACTCCGGCCGTCTTTTCTTTTCGACCGGAGCTCCCGACACGTGCTTGTCGCGTCACTGATTAGCACCCTTTACAGAGAGCAAATCCGTCCCACGATAGGATTGAATTGCATTCTGCCTCCTGAGTTTTCGCAAATCCGTCACTGATTAGCACCCTTTTGAAATTTGGTTGCGGGGTCCCTTCTAGAATTCGACTTGGGCCAACTTTCCTAAAAGGCCTACTGCATATTTGAAAATCTTTCAAACCTTGCCCATAATTTCAACAGTAATCAATCAATATAACCAAACTTTCATCCAAACCGTCGGAGCTATAATGTGGTCAACCAAAATTTGCGTATCGGTTTCAAAAAAATGACCTCTAGGGCTTGCGATATAGGGTGAGACATAAAGCCAAAATTAAGAAATGCGAAGAAAGATCCCAACTTTACAAGACATATTACAATCGGTACAATATGTTTATTAGTACAATAAAATTAACGAGTTAACTCGCCGACGCCGCTTTAATAGAAACATAATACGAGTATCAAATGCTAATTTGGCACGACGATGTGCCAAATTTTTATAATCAAAAGTAGGGTTAATACCACGAAAAATCCCAAACTAGCATATATGTGACAAATTTACCCAAAATTAATTCTTTGACTATCAAAAACTTTAAACTGGTACACCTATCACAATTTTACCGTCCGTTGATTTCTGTTAAATTTTACCGTCAAATTTCTGAATTGGATGACACATGGCAGTTGATGGGTGTACTAATTTGAGATTTTACCCTTCGTTTGTCACATGTGTACCAGTTTATGATTTTTCATGATATTAATTCAATTTAACGGAGGGTAAATTTATCATAAATGTGCCAATTTAGGGTTTTTTGTGATAAAAAAAATAATTCGAGGTAAATTTGTCGCATATATGCTAGTTTGGGGTTATTTTTGTGGTCAAAAAATTAATTTGAGGTAAATTTATCACGAATATATCAATCTGAGATTTTTCGTAGTATTAACCCATAAAAGTATCGAATCTCTAAAAATAACTTTACTTTGATTGAATGTTTGCCACGTGAGCATATCTATACATAGAACCTGGTGAGCATGCGCATGCACCGATCTTTGCGTTTTCGACCTTATCCTCTTGATCATTCTTCTCGAAGGCTACTGATTAAAGAAAGAGATTTGGTGAAGTGTTCACATTGATTGAACACGATGTCGGACATAACCATCCCTTTGAATCGTCACCATCGAACAATAGAATATCGCGAATGGCTTAAAGAACACGTCGTTTGCGTGGGGACACATCGCCCACCACCCTGCATATATGGATCACGACGACACAGCAATGCATCGACCCCATCCATCCATTAGAGGGCGTGTATTATTTGATACCCGGGTTGTAAATTCTCTAGTACGGGTTGTAATAAGGCAAGAAAACGACCCCGATGTAGTCCCGCGATGTTCGTGTCGAATTTGCTGAACGAACACCGAGAGTGGAGCACATAGGCCACGGAACTCGGACGTCATCTAAGGGTGCGTTCGTTTCGAGGAAAATGAGTGATTTGGAAAATATTTTTAAAAAAATGATCGCTTACATCGTGTAGAAAAATAAATGAATGGAAATTTTTTTCATCGCCCGCAAAAATATGTACGCATGTATTGTTATCGATGATGAAAATAATTTCCGTCAGCTATTTTTCTAAACAATATAAGCAATCATTAAATTACTCATTTTTTGCGAGACGAACGCATCTTAAGATCTATTTGTTTTTTTTTTTTGTCGTGAGAGCCGTGACAGTCATGACCATCGATTTAAAAGATTGCATAGCGGCACGAGTAGTTTGGTACAATGCAATAAATAAACAAACAAATAAATAGAAAGATTGTGGAGCCCGGCATGGGGGGCGAAGCTCACTCATTTTAATTAATGTTATTTATGAGCAGTAAAAATCGGAGGCATTTTAGGATGAGAATATAGGACATGAGGGTGTCTTGTACGATGAGAAAGTACGACCACTGAGCAAATCCTCGCAGGAAATAGGTTTCTCTTCATTTATACAATTGATTTGTTTTTTTTTTTGTGACTTTTGGCGTTGCTTATCTTCACGGAAAAGAAACAGAAAGAGATTGAAGGAAAGGTTTAAGAATTCTCGAATGGCTTAAATTCTCCGAAAAGTCCCTAACTTCAGGTCCAGATTCAATTTTGTTCCGAACTTATTTTGCTTAAAAAAAATTACAAACTTTCATTATGGTCCCAACTCTGCTCCCGTATCTCGAAATCTCCACTAAGTTCTTTGAAATTATCTACATTAGGGCCAGTTGAGGTTCATTATTAGAAAATGGGACTTGACCCACGCGCTCTTGCTTTCGTATGGAATTACAGCAGCCTCCTGATACTGATAATTTTAAAGAAACTAGCGGCGATTTTCGGACGCAGGTCAGATTTTGCCATCCATGTGAGCCCTGATCATTCCATGACCATGATGATCCATGATCCTCAGCCTCGATCCATGATCACTCCTCGGCCACGATCCACTCGAAAAAATTATGCGGAATCAAAAGAAACATTGACCAAAAAAGTTGTCGGAGTGATGAAATTTACATTTATAAAGTTTTACCCTCTCAAACTTCTTGCAACACAGACAAAATTAACAGGAGACGCTCTAATACTACAATCCATCCTATTTTCCTAGAAATTTCGTGTTCTCCACGACATTTCTCTCGAAGCCATTCTCAAATGGGCATAATGATATTTTTAAAATAGGATGGCCTTAATGTTTGGGCCTTAGCCATTAGCGGAAGGTATGTCTGACTTCTTTCATTTAATGGGCTGGTCATGGGTCCATATGAAATTAGTATATGTGTGTGGACTTTTCTCTAACTATAAGGTCCACAGATATAATAGCCGAGTGATTTTTGGACTTCTTCAACGCCCTAACTTAAACATTGTACTAAATTAGTATATGTTTGCTTTTCTGTTTTTTTTTTTCTATAATCACTGTTTGCTAGTTAATCAGTCATACCTGTGTTTGCAACGACTTTTACTTTTTATTTTTTATACATTTTGCTGCGCAGTATTGTTAACTTTTATTTATCCGAAAAGCCCGTAATTTTATTATATAAATGTTGACACGTAAATCTATGTGATTTTTTTTTTATTTTGAAATTAAAAATTTGCGGAGAAAATAATAGAAAAAAAGGTTATTCTTTTTACTTCTTAAAAGCAAACAAAAGATAAAATGAAACAACTGTAAACGGGGCTCTAAATATCATAATTCTCGAACATGTTTTGTGGCCATTTACGTAGTGTTTTTGCTCCACAAAACAGCCAAAAAGAAAGAGGAAAACAAAAAACGAAAGATGCTTATCATGTAGTGCTTGTATGTGATTTGCATGCAGGAACAGTTTGAACTACAGATGTTGGAAATACGTGACTGCGGAGGAGATGCCAAAGAGCGGACTACTCTCTGTTAACTGTGATTTCGTCATGATCAGCTTCGTGTCTCGCTCAGGAAAATCCTCGCGTAAGAGCTCTCAACAAGTCCCTCTCGGCTTTCACTGCGCCTGCCATGGACATTACGACAAGAGCTCACTGCTTCATCTGAATCACGACGTTGAACACACCCAGCTTCAACCTCCCTCTCTCTCCCTCTCTCTCGCAGACCCAGTTGGTGTATCGAATTCGATGATGGGTAATCTTTTAGAAATGCGATCCAACATGCGTTTCAACTGTTTTCTGTCGAGTTCTTGAGACGAATTGAGCACGTCCTGTCGTGTGATTAACGAGTTCTTTCTTTTATTTGATGCAGGGAGTGAGAATCCATTCAAGAAAAGCATATTGAGGACGCTTGAGAAGCCTGACGGTGGTGAGTTTGGCAAGTACTATGCTTTGCCAGCTCTCGACGACCCTCGAATAGGTCAAGTCCCACTTTTTCTTCTGATTTTATGCATGTTTTAGTTGCTGCTGAGTTGTATAGTATCGATGTTTGTATGAAGATCAAAATGACAGTCTTTCAACTTTCCTGTCATAAACAAGCAGGAGCAACAATTTTCTGTAACTTTTGTTGGGCATTGTCATTATTCATCACGTCGCGAGTCTTGTCTTTTCATTCTTTACGTAAATATTTCAATTATTAGAACAAATGATGAGGAATCGTGCTACGTGAAAGGTAGGACAAGCGGGCCAACTGGGTGCAGATTTCGGTTATTCACTCGCCTTTTCATTGTAAAAACTCTTCATCGTGTTTGTAAATGTCAATGCATATTGTATTGTGTCAAGTACAGAATTATCTGCTTAGCTCTGTTGATTAGCACACTTAAATAGATCAGAACCATGGGAAGTTCTGACTCTTGAATTCGTCTCCTTTTTGGGCTTTGTACAGTTTCGATATTTTGAAATAGTAACCTTGCGAACAAAGACCCATGTATGCTAGGTTAGGTGCTGACGGAGAGTTAGTTTTGACGATGCAGATAGGCTCCCAATATCTATTAAGGTCCTCCTTGAATCGGCAATCAGAAACTGCGATGAGTTTCAGGTCAAACGTGAGGATGTTGAGAAAGTCATTGATTGGGAGAATACTTCTTCGAAGCGGGTTGAAATTCTCTTCATGCCAGCAAGAGTATTGCTTCAGGTGAACATTGTTCACAAATTAATTGAG